TAGGGCTGTGAGGACCTCCCTCTGCCAGTCTCCCCTCAGGGCTGTAGAGACCAGCTGTAAAACACTCCCCTCCCACCTGCACAACTTGGGGGACCCATCATGAACACAGTGAGAGGGGAAAAGAGCACTGGTTTGGAGCCTAGTGTCTAGTTCCATCTTTGTGAACTGCTAGCTTTGTGGCCTTGGATAAGGCTTAGAGTCTGAGCCTGCATCTGTACAGCCAGGAAAACAGAGCGCATTCTGCTCATCTCAGAGTCCCTGTAAAAGTGATGCTTGCTTTGAAAAGTGTAAGGGCTCAAGCGATGGAAAGAACTCTGACTTTTGGTTTCTAATTTGAGAAGCATTTAGCTTCTGGAAACAGAATGAAATGTTTCTATAGCCGTGTCTAAAGATCTGGGTGTTACCAGCTGCCTATTCAGTGGGGGAAGGTATGACTGTCCCCAATATTCTCTATCCATGATATTCTCATCCTCAAGGTCTCTCTGAAGAAGTTGACAAGGCAGGTGAACTAAGACAAACTTTACAGCAGGCTGGTAGCTGGGGCAGTGCCTTCAGTGGCACACACAGAGGCCTAGCACATAGCAGCTGCCTTTAACCCCAGCTGTGCCACACACCAAGTGTGTGTGTGACCTTGGGCAAGTCACTGGACATTTTTAGATTTTAGCTGCTCTAGCTGGTAAAGAGGGGATGAGATTAAATGCTCTGAGTGTCTAGGCCTAACTTGATTCATTCATCTGTTTTGCCCAGGGGAGAAGGGAAACAAAAACCTGCTCTTCCCTGACAGGCAGCAGCAGTGGAAAAATCTGACTTCTGCGGGAGATTATCCGAATTCTTTGAATGTAGTTAATTTGCCTAACTTCTGGTCTCCTCAACAGCACAAACACTATTATATTGCTTTTTCCTCCCTGAGAAGCAGGCACAGACTGGCCCTTGCTGGAAGTTGTCAGGTTGGGCTGCACGGGGTTGTTTCACTGGGGGAGTGGGAACATACCTGCTGCCACCCAGCCCCGGCTCACCAAGGGCAGCATGAACGTGTGTCAGAGGAAAAGGGGCGGGCCAAGGATCAGGGGACAGACAGAGGGAGATTTAGGGAAAAGGAAAGTAGAGGGAGGGAAGGGGTCATATGAATGAAATGATTGCCAAGCTGTAAGAGACAGAGTATGAGCATCGATTTGAGGAAAGAGGTTTGAGTTTCTGTGTGGTGGTAGATAGCAACTGCTGCTGTATTTGATGAACATTCTGCCTTTACTTTGAAAAATGATGGCTGGGGTTTGGGGAATTAGGTTGAGAGATTGGAAAGTTTATAGATACTTGAGATTCTATAAGCTCTTTTGCTTTTTAACCTTTTTAAATGAGAAGTTCCAAACACACAAAAAGATGCAGAAAATATAATGAATTCTCATCACATCTCATCTGGATTCAGCAATTCTTAATTTACGGCCAATCTTGTTTCACTTTTACCCCTTCTTCTTGCGCCATTATTTGAAGGACATCCCAGACAGCAGTTTTATCCACTGATGTTCCAGTATTTGTCTCTCAAAGGACTGTAACCATAGTACTACCATCACACATGAAAACCTAACTTCTGGACTGCAAATATCGTCAATACTGGGTACTTTTGGATTGTTTTATTTTATATAAAAATTTGTTTTAGGAGCCAAGTCCATACATTGCAATTGTTTGGTATGTCTGTTAAGTTATAGATGTCTCTCTTTTATGGTTTTATTTTGTTGAAGAAATTATGTCATTTGTCTTTGAGTTTCCTGCAGATGCAATTCAGGCTGATCTTGGCAAGATTGCTTAGGTGGCAGTGTGCACTTGCATCAGGTGGCAAGTTGTGTCTTGCGTTCCATATAAATCAACACCTAGGTCCAAGTGTTTGTGAGGGCTTACAAAATGATGTTCTGTCATTCCTTCTTCACTGATTGGCTGGGCTACTGCTGTGAGGAAAACCTTCCCCTGCTCAGTTTGGTTACACTGACGTGGTTTGACAAGGGTGCAATGAACGCTTGTTTTTTTCCTTTATCAGTTTTCCGGGTAGTAAGTAAGTTGGTTTCCTGAGACACTCCAAAACAAAAAAAAATTTTTTTAATAGAATCATTCTGAAGGTATGGATTTAAACTTGTTTATTATTCTAACTGATGCTCCCATTGTCTCAGGTACTTGTGATACCAAAGTTAAGTACTTCTAAAAAGCACACTCAAGAGATACATATTACTTCAAAAAAATTATAGAACTGTCAAAAGTGGTACAAGTGTGAGAAGACTGACTAGAAGTCTGGACCATGGTACTTTTCAACCACTATTTATAAAACAGGTGTGAAACTAGTGCTTTGTGAATCCATATGAAAAAAAATTGCATCCTTGCTCTCCAGCATGTTTCCCTAAAAAAGTTGTGATCACAACAGATGTAGCCAGTGTTAACTTGGGGCCATAGACACTTTTGAAGAATTACCCCTGGCCCCTAATTTGTGCATTTCTAAAGAGAGGGCTCATCATTAGTCTCAAGATAATCATGCTCTAAATAAGATGATGTGCTACTGGACCCAAGGAATCACCCATGATGTCTTCAGACTTGCAGTCAGGGCTGGAGTTGCTCAAATGTGCAAATACTAAAAGTACTCCTGATCTAGGAAGTTCTAGATGCTTTTGTATCAAGGGAGACTTTCTTTGCTAGAACATTCCACTCATGGGAATTAGGTTCTATGGACAAAGGGATATAACCTTTTTCATTGGTGTTCTCCAATGCTGATTAAGAAAAGCCTAAATTTATAGGTTGAAATATCATCTACCTTCAACTCCCAGAACTTCTAAACAATGGATGCAATGCTACCAGCTGGTCCAAAAAAAAAAAAAATTGAGGGGTCTGATGAAGGCAAACTATAAAATGTTCAGTTTAGTTTTTCTGTGTCTGTCATCAAGGTTGACAGATGGGAGCTTAACTAGGCATTTGCTGATGTTTGTAAAATTAATTTAGTAACATGGTAGGTAGCTGTATATATATAGACACACACACATATATATATATATATACACACACACATATATATACATATAATTAAAAACCAAGTACTGTGCTGGATCTGCATATTCAGAAAAGCATAAAGGCAGACAAGCCAGCACAAAGGTGGCCAGTCCCCAGCTCCTGGGGCAGGTGAGGAAATGCCAGTGCTGATTCATGGGTGATTCAGTGACACTATGACCCCACTGACTACTAGTTTATCAGATGCCTTCGCTTCCCTTACCACCTTGTGAGCACACATTCCAGGATGGAGCATAGCTTTAAAAAGACCTTGCCAGGTGGAGACTATCTTTTGCTCCTAAATATTAAAGCACACTCACTGTTTTTTATGAAGTTCAAAAAGAAAAATCAGGCTACCTTCAACTCAGCTTAGGCAAGCTGAAGACAGTAGATGTATGTCAGTACTTATGTATCATTTACATAATGGCTGTTGGCTAGGTCAGTGATTACCAGATGTAGACCCAAGGAGGGAATGTTTGAAGTACTAATTGCTTATGTAATTTTAGAAGCTGATCAAGGTAACTTTGGAATGATAATCTATATAACATCTCTAGAAATGGTTAGAAAATTGCTTTCTGATTTTTCTGATGAGAACGTTGGTATAATCTACACATTTGACTTTGAATATCCAAACTCAGAAACCTTCGGTCCCTAAATTAAAACCGTAAATTAGTCAAATCAGGATGCTTTGCTATTAGATTTACAAGTGTATCCAGAAAGCGGCTAGATGTTCACCCCTCTTCAATCTGATTGCTATTTCTGACTCTACTGCTTTCGAAATGGTTTCATAAGTCACAAAACTTGACTTACTTGAATCTTTCTCTTACTCACCAATAAATTTCAAAGGTTTAAGTATTTATGATTTTTAAAACCTTGTGAGCCTTGGCATGACCTCCTTTGCCATACCAACACATTTTGGCATATGTCTTCCAAACATTCACCAGCCAAGAAGCTTTTAAGGGCTGATTATGTGTGTACTTTTTTAATTGTATAATTAATTTATACAGAGAAGTCATTTGGACTGATCTGTTTACAATCTTTCCCCATTTTCACTTGTGCTGGCCAAATACAGTTCACAGAATAGTCAACATTTTCTTGAATGATCCACATTATAAGTCTCCCATGACACAGAGCACTTAGTCCTTCACTTAAAGACTATGATCTCATTTGAACAGAAATATTTTACAGTAAAAGATTCATTACTTTTTCCCTCTTATGAATAAATCCACCAAAATTGATATAATATGGTCAGATTTTCAACACACCTGCTTCTTTTCAAACTCATTATTTGCAGGTATTATAAACCAACAAATAAAATTCATTTTCCCCAAGCCTTCTATAACTTACTATACACCCTCAAGTTTAGCTTTTACTATCTTCTTGCATGTTCTAGCACAACCAGATATTTTTACCTTAAGACCAAACTACTCTCTTTTCCCCTCTTTTTTATGTATTAGCAGCCAACTGCCTCTGCTCCTGCTTTTCAGACAACACTAAAGCTCTCAACCAAATCCTTCAGGTGGTTTTCTTTCAGTCGTCCAGAATACACCGCGACAGTTCATGTGTGTTCACCACCTTGCACTGCTACACCTGAAAAGTCACAACGTTCTTCATTGGCTCAAAAACAGTATGGCTTGGTTTCAGTTGATAAAGGTAATATGATTTAAAACACACACACACACACACACATATATATATATGCACATATGTACACATTTTTATCAAGGGGGACAAATAAAGGCTACCAATCTGTAAAGCTGGCAAAGTAAAAAAAAATAAATAAATGAAGTAAATACTAAAAACTACTTTGTAATAAAAAATAATTAAATACTTGGCAGGTTAAGTGAATGAAAATGAGGAATGTGGAGTGACAAAAACTAATATAAAGTATTCCAGTTGATAAAGTGGAAAATCTGTATAAAGTTTTATACTTTGTTTCAAAAGGAACTTATGTTTCAGTATAAATTCTAATGTATTACACACCTGTATTCTGTGTAGGTTTTAGGAGCCAATGTTAAAATTTCAAATTCTGCACATGCAGTTTATCAAAGAAACACTGGTAAAATCCCAGTATTTGCAAAATTTTAAGGTTTGGTAGATATTGTAAATATCACAACAGGTAGGTATTGGAAAGTCCTAATGAATTTAGAGTGAAGAAGAAACCAATTCCATAAATATTTCATTTGATTAAAAATACCAGGCTTGCATGTTCCAAATTATGAGAATATATCTTAAAAAAAAGGCTGCAGTTTTAACAGTAATCTGTATATATATCTTTAGCTGCCATTAAAAAAAAACAAAAAGAACCAAAAACAGAAAATGTGAATACTAGTATGAAGTAACCCTGCAATGCTCCCATGCTCACATTACAAGAAAACCCAAACTGTATACATTTATAAATAAACACGCTTTGCACCAGTAATACACAGAAATTCCTTTATACTGAAGTCTCTTTCCATTCGCCACCCAATGGAGATTTGTCCCTTGGCTTTGGGAAGCCAGGCTGTGCTCGGTGCGCTCTGACACTCTTCATGTCTGAGTGCACGCAGGGGAGGCACACACTGAAGTGTCCCCATCAACTTCGACCTGAGTCACACTGGATGCTGTGGATGCCCTTCTCTGGGTTTTGACATTCCCTGCAGACGGGTTGTTCTCAACGCACTCTTCATGGAGTCCGGGCAAACCCTGCAGCTCGGCTGGACTGGTGGCCTGCTGGAAAGGGGCTATGGCAGCTCGAATACAGTTGAACCACTGCTGCTTGTGGAACACATCATTGGCTTGCAGAGTGTGAGACTGGCCTGGGGAGGGGTCTTGAAAGCGAACTCTAAAGATATTTTTAGCTAGGAAAAGAAAAATTGGGAAAAAGAAAGAAAATCAGACTTAAAAACAGTTTGTGTAAATGAAGTGGTCATATAATCTTAGTATGGGTGCCGGAATTTCTGTACATGTACGCTTGTTAGGTGGAGGCATTAAATAAAGCCTTAGGACAGTATTTATTAGATGCACCTACTGGTGTCAGAGCACAACTTGATGACAGCAGCAGCTATAGGACAATGGAATCCTTTCATTTGTAATTTTTTGTGTGGAGACAGAATTCTTTTTTATTTTCCCTATGCTGTACCTTCAGTTTGTGACTAATTTGTAACTGGAAGTTTGCACCTCTTTATCCCCTTCACCTATTTTGCCTAATACCCCACCCCACCATGGCAACCACCTATTCTTTGTCTGAATGAGCCGAGTTCTGTTTTGTCTGTTTTTCAGATGCTGTATGATGAAAGTAAAATCATATGGTATTTGTTTTTCTCTTTTTTCACTTAGTACAATATCCTCTGGGTCCATCCATGCTGTCACAAATGGCAAGATTTAATTCTTTTTTATGGCTGAGTTATTGCACATGTATCCACATCTTCCTCATTCATTCATCTATTGATGGACACATATCTTGGCTATTGTAAATAGTGCTGCAGTTAACATAGGGGTACACATATCTTTTTGAATTAGTGTTTCTGTTTTCTTCAGGTAA